TTTATTTTTCAATTCCATGGCTTCAATAGTTATTTTCGCTGTCGTCGTTTTAGTCGTTCCAGTTTTTTCATTGATAATAATACAATCGTTATCGTTTCTAGCTCTCACAATTCTGAGAGTTTGTCTGCCACACGTAATAATAGGATAATCATTGAAAATGTTGAAAATATGTTTAAGAGGCATTAGCAAGCTAAAAGACTTGCTATGTGTGGACGCCAGTAAATATATTGTAGGATAGTTCCATCCAGCTATAGCCATATGATTTGAGTCTTCCTTACTGTAACATACCTAAGCTCGGACAGTACTTACAATATCAGGCTCACGTACTGTTTCAAGTAGTGGATTCGCTGTACGTGCAAGAGTCAAATAGGAAGGCCCCAAAGTTTGGAGCTAAAGATGCTGCTCCAGGTATTTCAACTTTTCCTTTGATAGACAGCATGGAAGCGTTCATAGCAAAGAACGAATCTACTTGATTGATGCTAAATTCCACAAATTCATTGCAATTAAATGGCTTGATGAATGGCCTATAAGATCTATACTCAGCCTTGCGAACAGATTCATCGAACGCTGGAGATCGATATAGATCAAACATCGGAGAAGTATATGCTGCTGCTGCTGCTGCTGCCTCAGTTTTTCGTTTTTTGTACATGATTCTTGTTGTTGACATGATATCCAAGTGAGCGGAGAAACAGGATATTTGATGTGGTTTAGATGCCGTCGCTTAGGTATTTGGGGTAATACTGAAGTTGCCTTGGAAGCACCACTATGTCTTATAATCACTAATCCCATCTGCTTTTCACTCTCAACTCCAACACAAGAGTACCATTTTCACCTCGAAAGTTTACAGGACGACCATTTTGATCTAAAGCCAACACTGTAATGTTGGTTATTTCTTGTTCCGGTATAACAGGTAGATATAGCAAATTTCCAGGTATTTCGACTATAGCGCATCCGGGATCCGCTGTTACAGCAAATTCATAGCTCGTGTGTGCAGGCGTGTCTCCGTCAAAGGCTCCCGACGTAATGTTAGCATCAAAGTGTATGGTCGATACTTTTATTATGTTTACAGGTAAATCAGAAGAATGCTTTTGACCAGGATTAAGAACTTTTTTCGAGACTCCCAATAGGTGTCCAAGATTATGCGGTTCTGTAAACACTATTTTATAATACTTGCTAAAGATTTCACATTGCAGTGTATTATTGTTAGGTTTCAGAGAAAAATGATCATCGGGAGGATTAATTTCATTTTCAAGATTCATCTGCATTCGTATAAATGTTTCTATGTCAGTAATTTTATAACAGCCTGTAGGAAACTCGATGACTTTTAGTTGACCTATCTGGTCGATGTTATAAAATTTATCTCCTTTTTCAATATGCGGTATGGAATTGTATGGAGTAAAAGACCTAAACGCCAATTCATAATCTTTTTTCGGATCCAACACTATCGGTGTTGGAAGGACGAAATGAAAATATGTGAGTAGTGCTATTTACTCTCAACAACTGTGACATGATGAATGAATAAAAATATAGCTGTATACTAACATTTATTCAAGTTTTTATTTTGGAATGAAGAATTTACAGAAATAACAATTTCCTTGAGCAGTAGCCGGTCCATCCCAATGTGTTGTCCAATCAGGTCTGTTGTAGTGAACATAGCATGGAAGTCGTATTTGAAGATCAAAATTTGACGTGAATTCTGCATGCAGTTTGTGCCATATACTCAACAGTTCTGCAGGTCTCACATTGTTTATTAGATACTCCAGCGGCGGGATATTCTTCTCAAACTCTTCTAAAGTAAATTCCGAAAATGTTTTATTTTCCATTGTTGTCCGTAATTAACTTGATTATTAGTTTGGTAAGGATCGTTGTTGTAGAAAATTTTAGCGTTTTTCAGATATCGAAAAAGTTCCTGCGGATTCTTCAGGTTACCGAATGAATCGAAATAGTCAACGATGTTGTTTATCTTTTTATAAGCTACCCAATGAGTTCCGTTGTTTCGTGAAATACCTAAGTTCACGAAGGTGCATTCTCGTTTACGTGGACCGTATCGTGGTAAAGTATATTTTCAAGATCTTCGCATATTGATCTATTTCATAATCATAAAGCGCTTTCTTGGATAGATTAACGTTTAGTTTTTTGTCATTTTTTTGAGGTACAACCCGTAACCACCTTTAGCATTTTTTCTCAAATGCAATCCTTTACCCAAAGACTCCTCGCTTTGTTATGACGATGGTCTTCCTCCAATTTCTTTTGCGCATTCTTAGCATCAACGACCGTTTTTTCCACACCTGCAGCCCCTCCTGCGAGCGCCCCTTAGGCACTTAACCCGGGGAATCAATGGTAGAAATCCCCCAGATTTTCCTTCGATGGAAGTTATTCTAGGTAGTTGAACATTATCTTTTCCACCTGCACTCTTCACCGCTATTCTTGACGCTTTAAGAGCAACCAATGTGGACTTTTTTAATGGCGTGGGAGTATGTTTCTTCAAGGACTTTTTGATTTTGGAGAGAAGACCTCGTCGGAAAGAGGAGGAGGAGGATTTTTTCTGTCCCATACCCAATTTTCGCTTAACCATCATTGCGATAGTTGTTAGCCAAGCTGCAGTTTTTTCTCCTAGTGATGCGTCAGGTGCTTTTACAAGTTCCCAAGCTCGGTTCTCAAGAATCCAATCAGCTTTGTGACTATCTTTCAAATTTTTGTATAAGGAGTATGCGATATCGTGATCTCTTGCAGCGCGATCCAATGGGTTCTTTCCAGGATCTCCTCGTGCTAGTCGCTTCTTTAATTTAGTTTCCGCTGAAAATATGCATGTGTGTGTAAGAATGAAAAAAAGTATCCTAATCTGTCGCACACTTACGCCCCAGAAACTGATACGAAGGTACGTGGAGTTCTATCGGAAGATTATTGATCAGAGAGTTTACAACACCTTCACCCTTGTACGTCAACATGAGAACTGTTGATAATGCGTTAGCAATATCTACATATATATATATATATATATATATATATACTTTCACGTTCCTTATTCGAACGTCACACGATGAAGGTTGTTCAACAAGAGCATACATTACCCATTGATAATTTGGATTTTACAGCAAAAGCTCAACATAGTAAACATGGTAAATTGTTACCGAATTCGTATCGCGCCATCATCTGCGGACCAAGCGGATGTGGAAAAACGAACGTAATGCTGCCGCTGCTTTTCCATCCGAACGGTGCTAAATTTAAAAATGTTTATGTTTATTCAAAATCGTTGTATCAACGAAAGTATCGACTGCTTCAAGAAGTGATTTCCGCTGATAAGGGCGTTGGTAATTTCCCATTTAAGGATAACGAAGAAATTATAAGTCCGAGTAAGGCTAAAAATGCCTCTATATTCATCTTTGACGACGTTTCGTGTGATGGACAGCAGACAATTCGAGAGTATTACTCCATGTGTCGTCATAAGGATATCGATGCTGTATATCTCTGCCAAACATACTCTAAAATTCCAAAACAGCTCATACGAGACAACTGTAACATTATAGTATTATTTAAGCGGGATGAAATTAATCTAAAACATATATTTGACGAACACGTATCTCCAGATGTTACTTTTGAAGAATTTAAAAGTGTGTTCGGCATGTTGGACAGAAAACTACGGCACGTAAAGGGCCTACCACACGCGCAAGCTTCACCACAGTTCCACCTGCGCAGGTAAGACTGTGGTGAAGCTTGAACACGGACGTGGCTACCACACGGCACAGTTAAGTACGCGCAAGCCACATTCTTGTCAAAATCGTCGTCGTGGGAACAATGTCTCCCAATGAAGAAGTATTGCTTGTGTTGGTGTATTTGGTTTTGTTAATGAAGAAAAAGACACTGTTAAAGTCTAAACGTAAACCATCAAAGTGGACGAAAAGATGGCTGTTGAATAGAAAAATTCATTCGCATATAAATCTACTGAAGGATTTAAAAGAAGACTCAAACGATTGGCGAAATTATTTACGGATGGATGAAAATGTCTATGGTGAACTATTACGCTTGGTTACGCCTCTCATTCGACGTCAAAATACGGTTATGCGTGAGAGTTTATCACCTCACGAAAGGCTGACCGCTACTTTGAGGTTCCTGGCTACTGGAAGATCATACCAAGATTTAAGATTTTCTACAGCAATTTCTGAACAGGCTTTATCTAAAATTATTCCTGATACCTGCCGAGCCATTTTTACAAGGTTTTACAAAAAAAATACATGGAGGTGAGTTAAATGATGTTTATTTAGAGTACAGTTTTTGAAGTAAAGTTCAGAACATGAAATTAAAAAGACAATGTGTGACAATGACAAAAAATCAAGGTTGAAAATTTTCCCAAAAAGTAGATACATTTCTATCTTTTTGTTGTTGTGATTGTCGATTTGGAATGTTCTGGGATACTGTCTCAGATTGTGGGAATCGATCATCAAGTATTTGTAATTGTACAATTTGGTCTTGCTCTTGCAGATGTGTCCGTCTTCCTTGTTGTTGTGAATGTTGATTTGGAGAAAGGTTCCGTGGATTGAGGTCGTGATTGGCTTATTTCTTGTTGTGAATGTTGAGTTTAAAAATTGTTCTCTGAATGCGAGTATGGAGTAGTCTGTAGTTGTTGTGAGTGAGGAGATGTGTGAGGTTGCGCGTATGAAGAAGTCAGTGTTTGTGAATAAGGAGAACTGTGAGGGTACGAGTATGGAGAAGTCTGTGTTTGTGAGTAAGGATCATTGTGAGGTTGCGAGTGTAGAGAGCCGTTATTGTAAATATCATTGATTCTGGTTACTGTTTGCCTAGACAGGTTGCCAAGTTCTGCTTCGAACAATGTGTCGTTTATTATTTTTTCCGCCCAAATACGCTGATCTTTGGGTAGGATTCTCAATTTTGATGCAATGTTTTTTCCATATACTTCATAAGTGTCGTCAGGTTTAAGTGTTAACAGTTTTTTGTTTATATTTTCATATGTTTGGTCGATAGATAAGGAATTTGCTGGTGACGAAGGTTTCTTGCATTTGCATGGGTTGATTGAAGTTTTCTGTGGTGGAGGAAGCAACATGTCGTTTCCATCTTGATTTAAACTCGATGACTGTGCCCTTGGTGACTGTACCTCATCATCATCTGCTTGACACTGTTCTGACGGAATACTCTGTGATAAAAAAAATTATCAATAATATAATATTGATTTTTGCTAAAAATATGTTACAGGTACCAAACTCGCAGAAAGAATGGAAACAAATAGCACAAGACTTTGAGCAAAAATGGAATTTCCCTCATTGTTTGGGAGCAGTAGATGGAAAGCATATACGAATAAACCCACCGCCAGAAAGTTTTTATGATTATAAAGGTTTCCATAGCATGGTCTTGATGGTGGCAGTAAACGCTAATTATGAATTTATTATATGCGAATTTGGCATGAATGGAAGAATTTCCGATGGTGGTGTAATTGAGCAGACGAAATTTTATGACAAATTGAATAACCAGTCATTGCATATTCCGGAACCAGAAAAATTGAAAATTTCTGATAAAGTTCTTAACTACGTATTTATAGGCGATGAAGCCTTTGCTTTAACCCCTAACTTCTTGAAGCCATTCAGTCAAAAAGATTTAACAAATGAGCGCAGAATTTTCAATTATCGCTTGTCAAGAGCTAGACGCATTGTAGAAAATGCCTTCGGCATATTAGCTTCTAGGTTCAGAATTTTTCATACTAGTATAAATTTGGCTCCTGAAAATATAGATATTGTAGTTATGACTTGTTGCGTGCTCCATAATTTTTTAAGAAATAAATACTCTACCAATTATACCCCCCCTACCTCATTGGATATCGAAGATACGATTGAGGGCACTTTAACGTTAGGTTTAAGAGCAGATACAAATCTATTGGAATTACAGAGAGGCCACTACAGAAACATTTCCAATGATGCCAAAGCGCCAAGAGAGGAATTTTCAAATTATTTTAATAACGAAGGCACTGTGCCGTGGCAAAATAGAATGTGTAGTATTAATACTATATAGATAACGCTTTTTGTTGATACATACGTAGACATAATTTGAAATAAACATAGCTACTAGTTAACAAAACAAACAATTTTTCTTCTATACCTGGGAGAATGTGTCATCAAAATTTGAAATTCCCTGTCTGGGTGTTTCCTGGTCTTTTAAAAAACTAAGCAAGTCAAAATACCATAACGATGGTTCATATCTGTCTTCTGTGCCAGCTTCAGATCTTGTTGAAGCATCCACTTTTTTTAATTCTTTTCTATAGGAACTTCTAAGTGAATTTATTTTTCTCTTTACTGTATCCTTGGTAGCTTCAGGTTCGACCTAAAAAGAATAAATTGTATTAAAATACATGTTCAATAAATATTTCTTATATTAAAAGTGCATTTTTGATACTTACAACCCTTTGCGACACTCGGGGACCACTCAAAAACAAAACATATTGTTATAAAAAAAATATTCAAATAACTAGCTAGTAACATTATGTTATTACCTGTTTCATTAAATTTATCATTTTTTCATAGGCAGAATTCTTTTTATTTTTGTCGGAATAATCCTTGCACTTAATTTTCCAGAGCGCTGGTAAGGATTTGTATAAATTTATCAATTCCGTCGTAAACTCGCGATTATATGAGCGCAAATCTGCCATTTTGTAACGGACGAATGCGTACCTAGCAAACCACGACTAGCCTCGACTGTGGCTTGAACACTGAACACCCAACCACACGCACAGGCAAGTACGCGCAGACCAGGCTTGCGCATGCAAAATTTCAAACAAACCAAAACTCGCGCAAGCCACGCTGCGAGGTTTGCGCAAGCCAACTGAACGACAACCACACGCACAGTGTTCCATGTACAAACCGGCCTGTGCAGGTGAAACTGTGGTGAAGCTTGCTCGTGTGGTAGGCCCATTAGTTATTGTTAAAGACTTTCCTCTTAATTATGGTCGATACATAAAAGAGATACTTATGATCGTTCATGAGTATACATCACACCGACTAGCGGATTGATGTTAGTTTAAATTTCTAGGGTTGAACATCTGTGAAAATTTTTTGAGTCTCTACTTTGTTATGTGAAGTGTGTATGTGCGTGAATTATTGAATAGTTCAGCTGTTTTCGAACCTTGCACACCTTGCAGGACTCTTTTTCCTTATTACCTGTGCGGTAAGACTCTTAATCGCCTAACACGTAGATTCAGTTTTGCACATGTATTTTTGTACTTAGCTGAGCAAAAAACACATTCTTCATTTGTTTTCCTAACAGATAGTCCAGGTATATTAGGTCCATGCAATTGTCATGGCACCTGATGTAGATGTCTGTAACTTCTGCGAGGACAATTTCATTGTTAAAACCAAACTTGTCAAATTCAGTTTAAGTAGCGGTAAATTCCACTGCCATTGTGTTTCCTTTAAAGATGCTTAGCTTAAAATATTTTCAGATTGTGATAACATCCACTGGGTATGCAGCGATTGCAAAATTGTAATGCAATCAAAAGCGTCTCTTACTAGAATCAGTATTGAATCTATGCAGAGGGAAATTGATCAATTGAATCGTGAAATTAGTATAACTAAGAACCATCTTGATGACTTGCAGTACACAGTGTCCCTTCAAAAATCTGTCATTGAGTCTCATGAGAAGATTTCTTCGCCTTCTGTTAGCACTGACTAATCCGGTATCATTCCTGGACCGAGCAAGTACAGCGATGCAGTGAAGAGAACTAAAGTAATTTCTTCGACCCTCCTGATTAAGGCTGATAACGAGGCAGATGTGAACTCAATTCTCAGTGAAGTAAAGTCTTCTGTTAATCCAGCCAGCCTTAATGTTTGCATCAATAATACTCGAAAAATTCGTAATGGTATTGCTGTGGACTGCAAAGATGGCAGTTCCCTGAGCACACTGAAAGATAACCTTTGCAATAAATTGGGTTCTAAATATTCAATATCTGAAGCTAAGAAGCTGAATCCACGCCTGCTTATAAGAAACGTTAATTTGGATGGTCTTGACAATCCTGATGATTTGATTTCGAACATAGCTTCTCTCAACAACATTGATGGTTCTCTACTTAAGTTTGTCACTAAGCTCAAATCCTCCTGCGGAATCAACATCGTAATTGAAGTCACTCCTACTCTAAGATCGGAATTATTAAAGATAAGGTTTTTATATATTGGTTGGAAAAAGTCACCTATCTCTGATCACTTTCGCATATTAAAGTGTTTCAAGTGCTGTTCGTTTGGCCATGCTGAAGCATCTTGTAAAGCTGATCTGTCCTGCCCAAGGTGTACGCGAAATCATAAAATCAAGGAGTGTAACTCGAGCGCCCTACAATGCGTAAATTGCCTGAACCATAACAAGGTGTACAAGAAGATTCTACCAGTTGATCATTCGGCTAATTTTCCAAACTGTCCTGTGTTTCTCAATTATGTTCAAACTCTAAAAGAAAGGGTGGATTATGGCTAACACTATAAAAAGTGTCTTGAAACTATGTCACTTAAATGTGCGTTCTCTAACAGCTCACTTTAATGATTTTGCCTCTCTTGTTCAATATAAGTTTGATGTTGTAGCAGTCACTGAAACATGCCTGCATTCCAGTATTGACAGCACTGTAGTCAATATACTTGAGTATAATTTCTTCCGTAAGGACCGTGGGAGCAGAGAGGGTGGCATCGGTCTCTATGTTAAATTAGATATTAGCACTAATCTTATCCCAGTTGAGCTCGATGACTTTATAAATCCTCTTGAAATGTTATGCTATAAATTTAAACTGCACGGGTCCAGTATGTTAATTGGTGTTATATGTAGGCCACCACATTGCTCTATACATCAAGCCATCCAGTGTTTAGAAAATCTTATCTCATTTTTCACTCCCCAATATGACAACATTATATTCTTGGGCGATATGAATGTCGACATGCTTGCTCATAACAACATCCTAAGCAGCTGCTTTGATTCATTCAATTTCATTCAAGTCATTGATGAGCCTTCAGTTCCACATTACTTGATCCAATATTTGTTAGTGACAATACTATACACATACTGTGATATTTCCGTTTGTTATAAAAAAATAGAGCCTAAATTTGTAACATATAGAAATCTTAATAGCATTGATATTCAAAGTTTTAAGACGCAGATTGCATCAATGCAGCTTAATGACATTTATTTCGTGAATGATGTGGATATTAAAGTCTCTATTTTTACTGGCCGTCTTCTTTATCTATTCGATCTCTACGCTCCGCTACGTACAGTACGTGTCACAAACTCTGCTGCGCCCTGGCTCACTCCTAACTTGAAAATGATTTTTCAACTCAGAGATGAGGCATTCGCTGTCTATCAGCATAACAGATCTGATCAGAATTGGGCCAGCTACAAAGATTTGAGAAATTATGCCCTTGCATCGCTTAGAAGAGAAAAAAGCATACTTGTCACGTTTCCGGAATCTTAACTCTAGTCAAGCTTGGAAACACCTGAGGAGGATGAATGTGGTAGCCCAGAAACATGTTGCGATACCTCCCAGTCTCCTTGAGCCCAACATTTTAAATAATTATTTTCTTTCAATTTTCCAGACAGCTGCAGCTGATCCAAATTTGATTGATGGTGTCTCTAACTCTTATAGCGATAGACGCCATACACCGAATGCACCTCTGTTTGCTTTTAAACTCCTTACTCAGCAAGACATCGTCAATATAATCTCTCACATTAAGTCTACGGCATGTGGCTCTGATGGTCTAACTTTAAATATGGTTTGCTTATGTTTGCCTGATACCATAGACCATATCCACATTATTAATGTCTGTCTCGAAACAGGTTACTTTCCTGCCAGTTGGAAAAATGGTATTATTATTCCAATAGCTAAAACTAATCATCCAGAACAATATTCGGATCTCAGGCCAATTACCTTATTATGCTTTCTATCAAAAATACTCGAAAGAGCTGTCTACTCACAACTAGTGGAGTTTTTCGAACAAAATCACTTATTTTCTCTACATCAGTCAGGTTTCAGAGCTGGTTACAGCACTACTTCGTCTTTATGACATCTTACTGATTCCATCATTCACGATTTAGACAATCACATCAACACCGTCTTGGTACTGTTAGATTTCTCGAATGCCTTTGATATGGTCAATCACCAGATACTACTGAGTAAGTTAT